TACATCACATCCACTTTTGATCTAAAACAATGGTGTTCGGGGGCCTCCACTGCTGCAAGGGCCATTGTCTATAAACTGATTAAGTCATGCTTAACCGTACATATATTATAATTTTTCAAAAAGTATGTAGCTAGTCTTGTGATGAATTATTATTTTTTAAATATATCTTTATTGATTTCATAGAGAGGAAAGGAGAGGGATAGAGAGATAGAAACATCAATGATGAGAGAGTCATTGACTGGCTGCCTCCTGCATGCCCCTGACTGGGGATCGAGCCCGCAACCCCGGGCATGTGCCCTGACCGGGAATCGAACCCCGATCGCCTGGATCTTAGGTCAACGCTCAACCACTGAGCCATGCCTGGCCGGGCTTGTGATGAATTAAATGCAAATTCATTTGAAAGCTCTCCTGAATTCATAGTTACCCTTGGCATTAGAATTCCTCAGCTAAGAGGAACTCTAAACCCATTTCTACCATTTACTATTATGGAGGGTGAGACATTTTTTATATTAAACAGGAGTTCATGCTATAAAACATAAGATTCTTAGACACAATAACATAAAAACTTAAAATCTCTGTATGGCAAAAGACGCCACAGAGAAAATAGTTTCAACATGTTTAACATATCGTTAATAGAGTAGGAGCTCTTACAAGGAAATTGGAAACAACCCAACAGATGGGCAAAGAATATGAACAACCCTGTTCGCAGAGACAGAAATACACTGATAGCAAAGATATGAAAATATGCTAAACTTAACTATTGATCAAAGACAGACAGACAGAAGAGAAAAACTTTTCTGCCTTAGAATTCTGGCAAATATTGAAAATATTCTTAATATATTGATGAGATGGAAGAGGAAAGACAACTTTGTTGGCAGGAGTACAAACTGGTAGGGCATGTTGTAAGGCAATTTGGGAAGCTTCTATCAAATGTTTAAAAGGATACGAATTTTCCACTTAGGAAGTGAAATGGGGCTGGGTATCTAAGGGAACATATTTCACATGTGCTTGAAGTACAGATGTTTAGGATGCTCGCTGCAGCACTGTCTGTAGGAGATAAGAAGTGGAAAGAGTTTAAATGTCTATCAGAAGGACAGTCTTACAATGGAATATTAACCCAGCGATTTAAATGCAACAGCCCCATGTGTGAATGTGTGAACTGCTGTCCCTGACATATTGTTGAGTGAAAAAGGAAAGTTGTAGAATATGTACAGTAAGATTAAATTTTTATGTAAAACACACACATTTTTCTATGCCTATTATCTCTAATATGTCTTATTCTATACATCTCTATCTCCCTATATAATTCTATTTCCTTCAACATCTATATCTACATATATTCCTCTATATTGTCCTATGTACATAGAAAACTAATCTAGAGTAATACATAGTAAACTTTCAAGAGTGTCTCCAGGGAGCAAAAATTAGAGAAAGAAAGGGAGTCATTTTTATTTTCACTTTATACAATGACATGTTCTTTGAGTTCCTTGTTTTATGACATACGTGTTTAATTTTTATAAATATAAAAATGAAAAGTAGTAATTCTCAAAAAAATTTTCCTCATTCCAGGAAGGGAGTGTCCAGAATGAGGGGCACGTTCGGCTGGCAGACCCCTTCCCGCGATCGCGCTGCTGCCCCCGGAGCACATGGGGAAGGTCCCTGTTGACGAGCAGCTCAGCAGACGCCTCAGGAACAGGACACAGCAGAAGCCAGCGCTGTGCTCCTTTTTGTGACCGAGTGTCGGGGGCTGCAGGGCCAAGCCTGAAGATGTTCCAGCCACCCATCACCAGGGGCAGGCCGTGGACCCAGAGGGAATAGGTTTCTTCCATGGTCGATATTGGACAGGAGGCTGGGGGAGCCTGGAGGACGTGTCCCGTCTTGTGATACGGGGTCGGGGGAACCTGGCTGAACACTATGGAACTTCCTGTTCTTTTCCTCCATCCTGTGCCCGCTGGTCATGGAATGAAGGACATCTAATCTCTAGCCTCACTGGTGAGTGTCACAGTTGCCTAGAGACGAGACAAGCCACCTGATTGAACACCTTTGGCATATAGGAGTGGTACGTATTATAATAATTTAATGTCACTCTAGACACTGGAGGCCTCTCTTCCCAGAGTTTGCCATACAGGGCACCTATTTCTACCCATGAGGGCCAAAGCAAGTGGAAACAGAAACGGGGTATATGACACGCAGGGGTCCCAAAGAAGAGCCGTGAGGACAGGGCAAAGGAGTTGGGCACAAGTAGTGTCCGGCACAGTTCCAGACCTGGCCCAGCTCTCTGCACACAAAGCCGCGAAGTAGCAGCATTCATGTTTGGATGTCAGCTCCTCTTCCCTGCTCTGCCTGGCTCCAGACTGTCCTCCAGCTCCCTGGCCCATTCCTGCCCCGAGCAAGCTGGTCTATAGCACAGTCTATTAGAGAAAATTCCTGAAATATGTCCATGAATCCCCTTGGGTAGGTGACTAAAGAATCCTGCTTGCGTGATGACTTGGGTTCTAAAGAATGCAGGTAGCAGAGCCACCGGTCCTTCGAAGGCACTCAGGTAAAAGAAGCTGGGTGCGGACAGTGTGCTGGCTGCTGGCCTGTGGCTTCCGGCCAGACAGCTGCTCCTTAGCGTCCCCTGTGCACGAAGTCGGGGCCACCCTGCGCTGCACAGAGGCGGGCACCTGCTGAGGAAGCCCGGAGCGCAGGGGTTGGAAATATCTGAGCTCGGATGGCCCATGTGTAAAAGTGGGAAAGAGTTTGTTTTTCATTCTCTCTCCCTTCCTCCATCACCCCCTTTTCTCTCTGTCCTTAAGAATAAATCCTTTATCCTAGTCTTGCTCTTTACCTGGATGCAGTGGGTCGCTGTTCAGGGGCAAGTGTGACCACTTCCAGACAGAAGTCAGTGGCGTCTGCTCTCGTGGGACATACTTTTCTAACCATCACTGCACTGTACAACATTGCACAATAACCGCCACAGAGCTTATGGGGGAGATGAGATGGGCCCCCTCACTCAAATACGCATAAAGATGATAGGAACCTAATAAAAAATACAGTTGTTTTATACGGCAAATGATTAAGCAATACATAAATACTGCAATAAATATGGCCCTTGATCTAGAACAGGACCTGAAGCTCAGAAGCTGAGTGCTGGAAGGGCTGCAGTGTCTGAGCTGTTGGGAAATGGCACGTGAGGGTCCCTGGTGGAAGAGTGTGCTACCAGATGTAGACGGCTGTGGCTGGTCACACGTGCCGCGACTGGGGAGGCCGGTGGGTATTTTGTGTGCACTTGAGGCGTGTGGGTGTTTTGTGAGCCCTCTACACTGGGTCAGCCGGATGCAGGTTCTGCATTCACCTCAAAGTTCTTGCAAGAGAAACTGTGCAGAAGCAAACACAAAATTCTGTTGTACCCAAACCGTTCCCCGGCCGTAAATCACGTTGAAATAAATTCTTTTTTTAAATACAAGTACTATGGCAGAACTGACTGAATCTAGATAATAAAAATGATTATGATTTAAAAAGTAAAAAGCTAGTAAGACCCCAGTGAGACGATGCTGTGAAGGTAGCAATAAGGTTAACATTACTGAGCGGAGAGTACACGACGCAGATAAACCCACGCCTCCTTGTTCCCACTTGAAGGTCCATCTCAACACAGTGAGACATTCAAGCGAAATGCAAACTGGGCTCCATCATTTTGAAACATATCTTGAATCCTGGGCAAAGCCTTCTGAGCTCCAGGGAGAAGCCATTACAACACACACCAGGCTCCTGGAAAGTCCTCTCCTACACTTTATCCCTCATATCCCACCTCACGGAGCAGCTACACTAACCTTCCCTCCCCCCCTTTCTCAGGATCCCTTGTCCCCTCTACCTGCATCCCCCGAAGCCCAGCAAACAAAATCCAGCCTTGATTGGTTCTCTGCCTATCACCCCTCCCCTCTCTCCCACCTTTTTTCCCAGAGTAAAAAGTCCATACCTAGGGGTGCTACTTTCCAATATTGCCTGTAACAAATCACCACAAAATCATTGGTTTAAAACAACATAGATTTACTCTTTTACAGTTCTGGAGGCCAGAAGTGCAAGCGAGGCTTTCTGGGGCTCACACTGAGGTGTCGGCAAGGTTGATTCCTGGTGCAGGGACTCTTCTGGGGACAGCTCGTCTTTCCAGCTTCCACGCTGCCATGCTGGTTGCCTTCCGCTCGTGTCACTCTGCCCTCCGTCGTCATCTCACCTCCTTGGACGCTGACTTTCCTGCCATCCTCTTCTGATCACACTGGGCCACCTGGACGACCCAGGGTATGCTCCCCTCTCAGGATCTTGAACCTAATCACAACTGTGACCTGTGAAGGTGACGTAGTCAGAGGTCCCAGGAATTAGGACGTGGACATCCTTGGGGTGCCATTGTTCAGTCCACCACACTGGTAATGATATTCAAGGTGCTCAACAACTGCCAGGTCACTTCAGGCGGCGGGTCTGACGCTTGGAAAGGTCTTAGGTCACACACTGGTTCAGGACCCCAGAGATCCCGGCATGCTGGGAGGTGTCAGGTGGGACTGGTGCGTCTCGGTGGCACTGAGACACTCCAGAGCGGGGAGGAGTGATCTTCAGGCAGCGCGAAAGCCTTTCCACCTTTCACAAGCAGTATAGCCACACCCGTGCGCTCTGCCGGCCGACCTGTCCTCGCCTGCCTAGGCTTTGTAAATTGTCCTCCAACTTCGTCCCCCCATCAGCACACAGATCTCCTGGGGCCTGATCACGGCCTGTACTTTAGTCCTTGTACTTGGAATGTCTATTTAGGCCTCACCACAACTCTGTGATTAGATTCTACACTTGTCTTCCTTTTTATGTTCCAAGAACATGCCCAGGGTCATATGTATTATTAACTGCCGGGGCCTGGGCTTGAACTCTAGCACTTTGATTTAGAAGTTGAGCTCCTAACCGCCGTGCTTAGGTCTTCAAGGAGACCCACATCTCTTTGGGCAGATCAGGGAGACCTGTGCAGAGACGGTCAAGGCAGCATGGAGGTGCCCAGCGGTAAGCCCTGGTCCCTACGCATTTTAGAGGTTTACACAGTTCCCTCCCCCACTGAATTGAATGGTTACGAGGAAGACTTCTTGCTCATACAGTACGAAATCTAATCTACTCTGTATGACCAAACTCAATAGATAGCCCGCAATAAAAGCAAGTCCAAACTTCAATTTATCTCGGCTACATAACATCCTAGAACAAAGTATGGCCGTGAGCATGTAAGGAGATAGAGGAATAAAGTAAGTCCGGAGTCAACAGTTTTGTTTGTAAGACCTAACTGACTGTGGCACTACTTCTGGCTAGAATATTCTCTTCATCCTCCTCAAACACAAAGAGTAGCAGGGACAGGAGGAGCAGCAAGAGGAGCCTGATCAAACCACTCCTGGGCTGCGAGTCTTTCATTCACCTCTAGCTGGTCATAGTTAGAAGTGTGCTGTTCATGACAGAAGAAATAATATCTAACAGAAAAAAGTAGCGCCACACAAAGAAAAAAAGAACGATTTGGGGGGTATTTTTTAATTTTGCTGTTTGAGAAAACAAATCTTGGTTTGGACAGGAGTATTAGCACCTTTCATTCATTGAATTGAAGCATTATATAGAAGAGATGAACATGAAAGGGTATTTTTAAAAATAAAATTAGAGTGAAATCTTGATTGAATTTCTGTAGTCCCTTAGAATCATTCATTCCAAGTATAAATCAGATTGTTAAGTAAAATGCTAGAAGCCGAGATGAATGCTATTTGAAGACGCTTTGGGGGAGAGTTGGAAGCAAATTCTACTTCAAACCCTTTACCTTCAGTAAGAACCTGAAATATTCTTGCTAATTTGGAAAATACCCCTGATATTTAAAATTTCCTAAAAGATAGCTCCCCTCCTACCTTTATGATGGAATACTGGGTGATTTCAGTCAAAAGGCATAGTTATTACCCTAAGAAAAAGTCCTGCGAGAAAGCACAGGCGGCCACCTTAGTCATTACTGAAGTGCCCTTATGACTGTCAGAGGGAACAGGTAAGAGGCTGGGGGGGCAGAGAGAGAGACATCAAAGTGTTTTTGTTTACCCCTTTGAAGTCTTGTGGCACCTACTGTTTACTATGCACACTTTTCAACTCATGCTGAAAGTTGGAATTCACCCGTGCCTCTCTTTTCCTGTCTAAGGTGCAGATGGACCACATTCGTGGAGTGGGTCCATCCCTGCCCCCACGTGTTCGCACATGCACACGCACACCTAGCCAGTGGAAAAGAAAAAGGGTTACTCACATTCATCCACTTTACAAAGATTTCCAGGCTGCGATGGGAGGGCGTTAGCTCTCCCTGAAGGATGAATAAATACGCAGCTCCACTGACAACCTGATCACAGTCAAACAGAGGTGAAAAGTGAGACCCAGGTCTTGCTCTCCTGGCGCTTCTGAGACTCAGTCCTGGCAACATGCAGCGGGTAGTCATCTGCCTGATGGTCATCTTCTCAGGGGCAGTGGCCCGTAGATCCAGCCTCCAAGAGCAAGATCGCCTCATGATCAGACTGCGCCAACTTATTGATGTTGTGGATCAGCTGAAACATTATGTGAATGACTTGGTAAGGCTGCGCTTGTCACAACAAAATTTAAAGCATATTCTTCAGTTACTATAAAGGAAGCTTTTTGACTTACTGAAATAACTCAGAACTCATTTCCTTTTGCTCTAGGACCCTGAATTTCTGCCAGCTCCAGAAGATGTAAAGGTAGGACCAGTTGAATTTATTTGTGAAGATATGTTTGATAGACATTTTTAAATCCAATTTTAAAAGGCACTAACATGATTGCTTAGGAAGAATATGCTTAATTTCAAAGAATTTGGAAGTTTAATAATTGATAAGATAGTTCTTTCTATTTTTGGTCAAATATTCATTAATTTACCAACCAGCCAACCAATAATATGTGACATAGCTTATAAAATACATTTTTATCTCCAAAGAGCTCTAAGAGTACATCTCAGTAGTACTGGTGAGGCAGAATAACCAAGCAGAAAATAAATCTATCCTATGACCAGTTTCTGAACAATGACTCACTAATTACATTGTAAGAGGCCCTGTGCATAAAAGTTCTTGAGTCCTCTTGCACACCTGTCTAAGAAATACAGATACACACCATAAGAAGCTGAATTTACCTCTAATAACTAGAAAGAAAGAAAGAGAGGAGGAGAGGAAGGAAGGGAGGAAAGGAAGAAAAAAAGAGAAAGAATAGATTACAGGAACAGCATGGAGTGTGGAAAGGAAGCCGTCTTGTAGAATAGAATTCCCATATACCTGGCTTCAAAGAGTCTCTCCTGCGGCCTTCCGTGAGGTCTTTTGAAAGGACCATTTTCAGCAGCTCGCTCCATTCTCTTAAGCCATTTAAATCCATCAGTCTGGGAAGAAGAGGCCCAGCATTCAAGTGCTCTGTGTCTTCACTAACTTAGCCTGCAGGTTTGATATCCTCGGGATATAAATGCAACTGGGGAAATGTTTTCATTGTCACAGACCTCTAACTGCATAAATTAGAATAACTATAAAAGTGCTGCCAGTAATTAGGACATTACAGAACGGGAAACTTACAAAGATACATTGCAAAGAAAACAATTATGGTAAATGACTGTGTAAAAGTTTAGAAAGTGAATGAGTCACAACTATTGCTTTTCTCTAAAATTCACTCTCTAGCTCGGAACATAACCACTCTCATTCACCAGGCCCTTATTTTCTAATAAGTAGCATCTAAAATGAAAGTAGCACATTCAGTTTATTGGAAAGACTTTTCTAATAAGTATGAATATGTCTTAATCAATGTCCTAATGATCAAAACATAGAACATTTTTCAGCATCTCATGCCCTTTGTTTCACTGCTGTGGTTAGAGTTCTTTCTGGAGTTTTTGAGCTACAGTCTGTAACTTGCACGGTGAGAAATAAGAAAGATACCCCACTTTCTAGCTTGATTGACCTAGTGGTAGTTTCTTTATAAGCTTTGTTAAGGAGAGGTGCTTTTTATCTTACATCACAGTTCAAGGAGTTGTCTGGGTGACACTGTGTGCACCTGGTGACCGGATTGAGCAGTTCTGGCTGTGATTCTAGTGAGTGATGGTATAATCGAGATCGGTAAGCTCTGCTGGCAGGCAGACTCAGGGGGCAAGAAGAGAGTTTAAGGCCACCGTAATGTTCTACTAAGTTTTTCAGAGCTATCATCAAAGCAGGGTCTATAAGAGACTTAAAAAGATTAAAAAGTTTAATGAGAATAAATTTTTGCAGATAAATGTTGCTATGTAGTCATTACCTAAGATCTCTAATTGGTCTGGCCAGGCATCTTCCTTTCTCTTTCTAACTATAACCAGTGGTCCTGAGCTGCTGGTGACTTGCACCTCCCCCCAGACCCCCAGAACACCTGTCCATGTGTGGAGAAATATTGGGCTTTCACAGTTATGTGTGTGTGTGGGGGGGGGTTCTATTGGCATCGAGTAGGTAGAGGCCAGGGATGATGCTAAACATTCTAGAATGCACCGAATTATCTACCCCAAAGTGCAAGCAGTGCTGCTGTTGAGAGGCCCTGATTTAAACCCAGCATGTATGTTAGGTTATTTAGTCTCATTAGCAAGACTTCCCAGTGTGAATGGCCAGGGCTTTCTTTGGGGAAAAAAAAAAGCAAGTAGGTTAAAAATAAGCTGCCAGAAGGCAAATATTTTTAAATATTCAATTGCAAAATGACAAAGCCTTGTGTGCTTCCTGGCCGAAGCAGCCCTGGCTGGACGGCTCAGGGCTGAGGATAGCAGTGCTTCGGGACTTCTCTGGCTTTGGACCCACTGTTCCCTCTGTTCTGCAAAATGCATGTAGAACAGCTGAGTCTCATGCTTTCATGTGTTAAAAGACGAGGAGAGCCAGGCCTCGCTACCCCGAGGCACAGCACAGGAAAGGCAGGCGCCTGCTCCCAGGTCGTGGTGCCACACACGAACCGGGGGTCATCCGGGAAACCCCTGGAGTGGCAGGGCTCCCGCGCTACCTGACAAGCTTCTCTCCACGCCTTCTCAGCAGCAAGCGTCCCCTTACTGCAGCGAGAGGCAGCTTCTCCACCTTTTTCCTCCGGGGCTGCCGTGGATACGCATCTGGAGTCAAATCCAGCAGTGCCTTGTCCTCACCAGGAACAGCTCTGCAGCTTACAGAAAGCACAGAGCTTAACCCTGCAGTCTCCCGACACAGGAGGGCATGAGACGGAGCCCGGCCCCGGCGGCGTTAGTGGCAGTGTCCAGGCTGTCAAGGCCATCATCACTGGTCTGGACCGCTCCTGGCAAGGGTAGCTCAAGGGGGGCTGTTCGGTGGGGCCCCTCTACTTCTTCAGAACCTGATCTCCTTTCAACACACATGTAAATGTTAACTCAGCAGAATGGGCCTCTGTGAGAAATGCTGGTTTCTCAGATCAGCACAGATGAAGCAGTTAGCGTTTTCAGTTTCAGCTGGAAAATTTACCTCTTTAAATATGAATATCATTTTTTTCCAGTAAGTTAAGCCGGTTGTGGTCAAAAAGAAGAGAAAAGAAAAAACTTCAACAAACAAGAGCATGTGGTTTTCAAGGAAAAAAAAGTGCTAAAATTAACATTTATAAATAGTTTCTATTAAATAAGCATTTTGGCAAACATGGGAAGGACACTGCTGTGCCCTCATGAGAGGCAAGCTGCTCCGATAGAAGGAAACCAGATAAGCTGGTTCTCGGCTTGTGGCTCTGTATGCAAAGCGAGCCCAGTGGGGCTGTGTCTTCAGGTGAACGTTATTCATCAACACATCCAAACCGGGTGTGCACAGGGGTTGGAAAATGCAAAGCAGGCCACTTGCCGTTTTCAGCTGGCTGTCCAGGAGAATCAGGTGGTGCTGTAGGGACCAAGAGGCTGGGGTTTCTGGTTGCACAGCAGTGGCTTCCACACCCATCAATGAAGTGAAGACAGGGCAGCTTGGGGGGGAAGCGGGGAGCAGATAGCATCATATGTACACACTGGCTGAAAGAGAAAAGAAACTTGGATACAAGTTCTTAGATCAGCATTAAAATGTTTTTGACAGGTCAGTATAAACTGTGTTCTTCCAATAGGTTTCATTTTCAGTGCAATTTCTAAGATTCTGACTTACTCACTAGTTGTTTGACTAAATCAAGAGCCACGTTTCGATCCTTGTTCTGTCCACTTCTCCAGCCTCTGAGACTATGACTTATTCTCTTACTGCCTGAGGAGCCCTCTTCCCTCCCAGAGGCCAGGCGAGTCTCAAACTCTGTTCCTTGGCTGCTTAGTTCAAGCAGAATCCTACCCTACCTGACCTGGGGGTGCAAACAGCATTTTAGAAAAGCTAAGTGTGGTCTATGTCAAAGGTAATGAATCCTGGATGGGCATCATTCCACCAGAGGTGGGCACCCACGTCCCTTCCCCAAAGGAAGGGCTTTAACTCCTTTACTTCATTTGTCAACTCCTCAAACACTTCCTGGGCACTCCACCAGAAACAGGTGAGTGCCAGGTGTTGGGGCATCGGATGCTATGGGATGTTCTGTGTACATCGTAGAGCAAAACAAAAGACAAATGAAAAGATTCTTAATCAGACCACAGCACAACTCACACCAAGCTGCCGTGGGTCAGTGTGACTTTTAGGGCCTCATATTTAGAAAATTCCCTTACAAAACACAAGCTTCCGCCCACCGCCCAGACCTCAGGCACTGTGAATAGAGAGGTGTGGAAAGTGGGACTCCCTCCGTCTCCTCAGCCCCCAGGGTAAGTGTCTGCTGAAACGGATGTGACACAAGACACTGTCTTACAAGTAGGAAGAGAGGACTGGGAAGGATATGCTTACTTTCTGAATAACTTTGGTTAACATAACCACACATTATTTCTCTTTCAGAGACACTGTGAGCGATCGGCTTTTTCGTGTTTTCAGAAGGTCCAACTAAAGTCAGTAAATACAGGAGACAACGAGAAGATAATTAATGTGTTAACTAAACAGCTGAAGAGGAAGCTGCCTCCCACAAATGCAGGGAGAAGACAGGAACAGAGACTAGTAAGACTGTCCTTTGTTTTCCTTTTTACCTGAACTGATTAAGTATATAACTTGTGCACACACACGCGCACACACACCCGATCACCCCTGTAGCCAGAGCCCCAATGTCTTCCTGCCAGTTACACTTTATATACAGTGTTGTTCTGAGACGTGAAGTCTCCCCTCCTAAGCCCACAGGCTTGAAAGTGCCCAGAAACCCAGCTCACTAACAGGCTAACAGTCCCGAGCCTCCGAGTATGTTAACACAGCTTCCCACGGTGAGGGAGTCGCTGGGCAGAGAATCCGATTTTGACTTAGGAGTTACAAAGTACTTTCCTCTCATCCTATGGTCACATATAACTTGTATTCTAATGAACAGGAACTAGATCCTAGCTTTCCTGCAAGAAAAAAGACAGCCTACTAGAGAGAGACCAGGATAAATCTCAAACTTGGCCTTCCTCTCTTAAAGATTATTACTGTCCTGTGCAATCGCAGATCCGTACTTGTTTCAATGGTGGGCCCCATTATTTGACTGGAGATTTCCAACAGTCCCCAGTTTGGGCGGTCTTGAGACCCTTGTGGATAGCCCTTCCTTTGCCAACTCATGAGCAATGCTGATCCTCTCATGAGTGACATAAGCATTAATCAAATCCAGTGTATAAACACCTAAGATAAATTACTCCTCAGTTTTTAAACCAGTTCTCTTTCCTTCAAGGAATTTCACATGTGATTCAAATAAAACCTTAATTACATTGTCAAAATGATTTTTATTTCCTTTGGTTGCTTGGCCAGGTCACAATGTGAAAAGTATCCCTCTCAAACTTTCCTGAGAAAGAAAGGAGCTGAACATGTCCTTGAAACCCAGTATCAAAGAAGCATGAAATGGTGGTGCTGACACTGAGCTTAGAAGCATCCAGTTAAGCACCTGCATTTGACAGATGGGAAAGGGACAACAAAGAGGCTAGGTGATACGTCCCTTACAAAGAGTAAGAGCCAGAACGAGAACCCCCTCCTATCCATCCCGTGTTCCCACCCCAGCGTCAGACTGGCATTTGAGATGCTAACTACCAAGCGCAGGCCTGGTGTGAGGGCGCTCAGTGGGAATGAGGGTAAATTAAGCCAAGAAATATTTCCAAAAAGAAATATAAGCAGACAACACGCATATGAAAGATGCTTCCATCTCCCTGTAATCAATCAAATGCGAATTAAAACAAGGAAATCCTATTTTTTTCCAATAAAGAATTATAATGCCCAATAATGGTAAGAATGCTCTATGTAAATAGAAGTAAAACTTTTTACAATGTATGTCAAAAGCCTTAAAATTTTAAATCCCTTTAATTTAGTCATTCTACTTCTAGAAACTTACCAAATAAAATATATAAAGATGTATATAAAAAAATATTCAGAGATGTTCTTTGAAGCATTGTATAAAATAGAGGAATGTTAGAAGCAATATGTGCTTCCCAAAATAGTAATAGTTCAATCCTATGTTGGAACACAAAGCTACCATTGTGTACCATATTTTTGAAGAATATTTAACACACAGGAAAAGCTCATGATATCTTAAGTGTAAAAAAAAGCAAATTAGCAATCAGTGTAAATAATAGAGAAGCAAAGAAAAAAAATCACCAGGAGGGTATGTATCAAAACATGGCTGTGGTTATCTCTGAGTGTGGGATTACAGTAAGTGATTTTCCCCATTACTATTTTCTGAACAATTTTATGTGTTTCTCAGTTTTTTGAGTGAACATGAATTATGTCTCTAACTGGAAAAAATAAATTTTAGATGAATGTTTTATTTAATAGGAAAACAATTTTAAAGAGGAATGTTACTTTTTCATTGATTTCTAGGTGTGCCCTTCATGTGATTCTTATGAGAAAAAACCACCCAAAGAATTCCTAGAAAGACTGAAATCACTCATCCAGAAGGTACCACTTATATTATGTTAGATTTTCTACCTCAGTTTTATCCAGATTGCGTCCCGTGTGGGGTTACTCATGGTACACTGTTTCCACAGATGATCCACCAGCACCTCTCCTAGAGCATGTGACGAAGGAAGGTTCTTGGGGACCTCGCTGCAGCTGGACACTATGTGATGTACTCTAACACAGCAGGGACATTCGCTTCTGGGGATTCCCAGTGGAGGAATGAAGAGGGGAAACTCAGATAGGTGTTCAAAGTCCGGATCATTTCCCCCATGTTGCTATGCAATACTTCAGTTTAATCCATGTGGTCTGTGTTTGCCCAACTTGAAAAAACTGTCTACTGATTGCCTATGTTATGGATTTCGATGACTTCTAAAATTTTTATTTAACTGCCCAACTATCACATTTCTTGGTTGGGGAGAAGCTAAAATTTTTAACTGAAAATACAGTTTGGGAATGTATTGATCTTGTATTAACTTTTATCTTGATTGCCAAAAAAAGGAAGTCTCTGATAATCATAAGTTAAAAATGATGCACCATAATTCAAGCTGAAAAATATAGAACCATAGGGTCAAAACAGCAAGCTGAAGTCTAGTCATTTAATGAAATGAAAACTGAGTGTTTAAAAATGTATATCTGAAGAGTTTACTTTTATCTCAGAATGTCTAACATATAAATATATAATTTATTTATGTACCAGAGGGGTATCTTTACCAGATGGCTACACAAAAAGTCTTACTTCCTCATTGGGATTTATCAAATATTTAAATACTATAGATATGAATGTATTTATGGAATAGACTCTTTCAGTCTTTTTTTCTTTAAGTGGGTTTAATAGTACCTTCCCAACTCAAGTCCCTTTATGAGCTAATACTGTGCTTGTGGAAATGGCAAATAAAATCTATAGAGGGACGTCCTTCAGGTGGTCTTCTGGGACCAGACAGAATTTTTAAAAATACTGTGGCTAGCTCTCTTCTGAAATCATTACAATGATTGCATGGTAGTGAGCTAATAACTCCAAATGCCCATTTCCTTCTTTCTTTCTTCCTTTCTTTTAAAAATGACAGACAATTTGTGTCTGTATGTTTTGCATCAGGTAAATTTAGTCACCTGTAGAAAATCAAAGTCAGGCTACAAATCAAGAGTTCAGAACTCCTGTCCACACAGAAAGCAGACTTGGGCACAAACATGCCAGTCTTCCAACCATGGGTAGTACAAACAGGCAACCTGCTTGAAGAGCCATTTCCTATCACCCCCAGCAGTTTATTTAAGTTGGACGTTAGAAACTCTAGAAAAATAAATTTTCATGGAGACTTTATAAGCTACTTGAGAATCTTATTGTTAAAATGGCTGAGTGCACAAGAAGATGTTGTATGAGAAATGCTTTATGCTCTAAGAAGAAAAATTACCTACTTAAAAGTGTTTTAGAAACAAGTACTTTTATAGTTCTAAAAGATGTTAGGAACGAATTATGTCATCAGATCTCCAGGAAATGTTTGGTCATCAGAAACGAGTATCCTGATCTATGTGTGAAGGTGTTATTGCAAAGGAATACTGTAGGTATGTGCAGGATGACGGTGCTGTGCGTCTAAGGCCTGCCTCGGTGTGGGATGGTGCCAGGCCGGGTTGTGGGGTGAAGCTGGGAAGCGGGCCCGAAGTTGACTTGGGAAGAGGGAGTCTTTATTTCTCGTTTCTGGCTTTCTAGTTGTTGACTTCTTTGACACTGTGATTTTATATTTAAAATAATGTATTTATTTTGGTGTGTTTACTGTTAATAAGTCTCTGTTCTAATCTGTTTGACCAAAGATTCTATCTTCAAAGTAAAAATAATTTAGTGGGCTGTTGGCTAAGAGCCTTCCCGAACCTGACTTCAGAGCCTCGGGCAGGATCCTCCAGGCAGCCCTAGAAACGGCAGTGCTTGGAATAAAGAGGAGGAAGGATTGGGACCTGAACAGCCCCACCTGCTCTGTGTTCAAGACTTAGCCAGCTCTCCAAAGCCACATGAGGCTGGCCCATAGCATTACTGTTCACCGATGACAATGACACAGGAGACCTGAACTCTTGCTGGCTGTGTCACTTGCTTACATTTTTCAGGTTTCTCTTTCCTATCTGTAGAATGAGGCTGTTAGACTTAATTTCTAAGGTCTATCCCGCCTCTTTCTTTAGAGCTTTATGTGTCTGAGTTGCTAAAATTCTGGATAATCCTAGAGGAGCATTTGACCATACTTCTGAGTCAAACTTTCTGCTGAATCTAATGTTCAGCTGATCAACATTATTTCAAGAGGATTTGTAGCAACACTCACTGTGGGAACAAGGAAAGTGTTTTAAAAAAAGGAAGGAAGAAAGAAAGAAGGAAGAGAGAGGGAAAGGAAGAAAGACAAGCACTGCTGTAGGTCCCGGGAGTTCAGGGAAATGAGGCATGATTCCCACTCCTTTCTCCTTTAGCTGAAAGTGTCTTTTCCCAACCCTTGTGTAGAACTGTAGCATTATTATCTATATATTGCTCTGTTGTATTGACATTTGCATCTGAAAATTTAGTTTTAATATGAACTATGTACTTTATAACTTAATGATTATTTATTATATATTTGGTTTTAAATGTTTATGTTCATAGCTTCTTATTTAAGACCTGGTCATATTAAATACTACCCAGTCAGCACACTGTCTTCTGTGATTCCCTGGAAATCTTTAATTGAATAGTTTTGGAAGAAAATAAAAATGATCGTTAGTTTCTGGGAACTTAGTTTTTACGTGTATATGCTAAAGAACATCCTCTCTCCTCACACACGCCACTGAAATGGCACTTTCCACATCCTGTCCCTACCTTTAGGATACCATGACCTCTGCAGCCCTCCCAAAGGTACGGCAGGTCTGGGCAGAACTGAAGATCTTCCCGATGCCCATTACTTTTGTGCAAACCTCACTCCTCATGTGCCCTTTTCTTATTGATGACTGTCATCTCGTGAACAAGCCTCCATGTTCACCAAAGACTCAGGCACATTCTTTTCCTTGAATCCAACATTTGCCACCAACCGGGTGATTTCAGTGCCCACGATGAGGGTTCCACCCACACGGTAGCTTCCCAGAACCTGAACTGCCTGCATCTTTTACTCATCCTTGGCCGTTCCCATTCCCAGGTGCCAGACTTGATCACTTGGAACCACTCTCTGTCTGAAGTCTTTACATACATAAAACCATGGCCTGCTCATCTCTTCACTCTCACACACTTGCTTCTATTCCATCGGTCCAGAGACCTCATCAAACAGCCAGGCCTCCTCTATCTGGCTTCCTGGGGTCGCTTTCCCACTTCACTCTCAGCTCTAAATACTCACCTGCTTCAACATCTGTCTCCCGCTACTCCAGGGCACAGGTTATTTGGGTACCACCATGCCTCGTGAGGAGGAGAGAGTTCTGGGTGTTCACGGTCAAGCACGTTGAAAAGAGTCTATACCTGTCTATACTCCCTCACCTCCTACCCACTTATCAAACCACCATAATCTAATTTCTGCCCACCCACACCCTACTACTGTATCATTAAAACTCCCCTTTCTCTGGTCAACAATGGCCTCCAATGACCCATCTTTCCAAAGTGTCTAAGTCATCATCTCACTTGTTCTTCATGGCTTTTGCTACCTTTGATCACCCCTCTCTCTGCCCTGACTGTGGAGGCAACTCCTGCTCCTGATCCTTCCCCTCCCTCTCTGACGGCACATCACAGGGTCAGCTATCGGCTGCTTTCCTGTATCTCCCCCTTGGAAGTCGGCGTTCCTGAGGATTCTGTTCTTGGCTACCTTTCTCTTTAAATCTTTTCCCTCAACAGTTGGGTGAGTTCCTGTGTTTTTAATACCCTGCTATGTGTTATTGACCAAATCTATAGATAAAGGCTAATTCCTTTATCTGCCAAATCCCAGACCCATATATCCACCGTCTCCCGGGAGATTTCCATCATATCTCCCAGGCCCTTCACCTCAAGGGCCAAAATGATCTCACTTTCCTCTACTTTCACCACTTCTGTTCTCCAATATCCCTAATCTTAATGATGGGAACACATCCCCCAGCTTCCCAGACTCTGCCTTCTCTCTCATACACCATAACCAATTGGTCACTGGCCTTTGCTGTTTCTCTCTCTTAAACCCAGCCTTTCTTTTCTCCTCCCTCTGCCATCGCCTTAATGCTGGCCCTCGCAACGGTCACAATGACTTTAGATTGGATTTCTAGCCTCTTGCCTTCTCTTCTTCCCAATCTATGTCTGTGTGGCCACCAGTGTGATATTTTATAAAACCCAAGTCTGGTCACAACTTTCCCTTGTTAAAACCTTTCACTCTCCTCTGGAATAGAGCCTAGGCCCAAGGCAGGGCCTGCAGAACCTGTTACCATCTGCTCCGCTCAGCTCCCGGCCTCTCTTCACCTTGAACTTCACTCGCTAGCCAATCCAACCTACTTCTAGTTCCCTAGACCCACCACATTGTTTCATTCATCCTCCCCTTTGTCCCTGCTGTGACCTCTCCCAGGAATATCACTCCTCTGCCCCTTCCTTACAACTAGGAGACCCTCATGTGTCTGTCAATAGTTAACTTAGTCATGACTAGCTCTAGAAGGATTTCCACCACCATCCCTCTCTCTGTGACAGCGTTAATCTCTCCCCACTTTCAAAACTTGAGCATACTTTGATTACTAGGCACAATATGATGTATACAAATTTAGTGATTTATATGTCTGTTTCCCTTGGCACAAGGAACTGTGTTTGGCTTGCACAGTGCATCATATATGGTAGATAACATATAGTGGAAAACAAACATTTATGAAATTCAACTGAATTAAACACAAAATATATGATTATGCATTGAAATTCTCCTCGCATCTCTTTCTCTTACACATTGAATCTAATTATCACCAAAGCCAGTGATGATGGCCAGCTATTTTCAAAGTATTGCTAGAATCCAATTGCTTGTCACCATCTCCAGCTTCCATTTTGTCTGAGGCCACCACAGTCTCTGACTTAGATGATGGTGACACTTTCCTGAGTAATTTTGTGCTTTTGCTCTTGCCCCTCACCAAAATCTGTTTGCAACAAAGCAACCTGAATGATCCTTTTGAAAACTAATCAGAATGTGTC